TGAGAATTGATTGAGTATACACTAACTTAAGCTTCGGAGGCTCTTAACCGGAAAACCACTCCGGTGTGAGAGTTCTTTGTAGGTGCACGACGTTCAACCGGCGAGAAGGAAGGCGATTATTCAAGTTCCAGCCGGTCGGGAAGTTTTGTGTTACCAATATATAATATAATATTATATAATATATTATATATTAAAAATAATATTATATTATAATATTATATATATAATACTTTATTATATATAATATTATATTATAAAATATTACTATACTCTAAACTTTATATAATATTATAATATTATAAATTTTATATAACATTATAATATTATATAATATAATATTATATATATTATAATATTATATATTATATTATATTATGTATATAATTTTATATATATAATATTTTATATGTATATTATATATAACTAGTACGAATCGTGCGATGCACGGGTATAAAATATTAATTGTTATTTATAAATAAGAAATATGCATTAAATAATATTTAATAAATTAAGAATATTGAATCAATATGTAATATAGTTTACCTATATTAATTTGTAAAAAATGTTATACGAAATTTGAATTGTACAAAATGACATAAAAAATGTATATTTTAAATTAGTACACAACCTATACAATGCACGTAACTAATAATAAATTATATTATATTTATTTCAAAATAATGTTATTTTTAAAAAAATATTCAAAATTTCAATTTGACTACAATGTGATTCAATAAAATAAATATTTTGGTAAAATTTTATCATATATTTAAAAATATATGTGAATAATACATATAATTATAAACTTATATTGTTTCATTACTCGCCGAAAAATCCCTTTCGCCGAAAAATCCCTCTTTTGCATCGACCTCGTCTGCTCGTGTCCCGGTTCTCCCCTAGCGGAAGTCCGGGATAATCGGAGAACGTGCTCCGCCGCTCACCCATGAATTGGTCTCGTCTCTACAGTTCAGTCCGTCGCCGTTGGATGCGCCTAGGGTTTGCAGATCCCCTTTCTGCATCAACACTTCAGGAGCTTCGACGGGAGGGTGTGGGGCGGAGGACGGTGTCTGGTGAGTGGGTGAGGTCTTGGGCGCCGTGGTCGGTCTGATGGGCTCGATGCTTCTTTCTGGATCCAGGGTACATTCGTCGTCGATTGGCACGGGTCCGTTCCGCTGGCATTTTGGCGACTGCGGGAGGTAAGTGTCTTCTCTCGCTTCTGAGAGTCGTGTGATGGCTTCCTTCTATTGTTGCCGATCTGTTCGGCTTGCTTTTGGTTGCGGTCGGCGGGTGCTTTGGTTTTTCCGGCGGGTTGTGCTGGTTTCCTTCGGGTCTGGTGGGGTGGCTGGGCTTGGAATCGTCATTTCTCCTCTCTCGGCTCTTTGTCTTGAGTTTTGGGTATCTTTCCGGCTGCCGAAGGCGCTGTGGTCTCGGTGATTTTGGGTCGGCTCGGTACTTGGCTTGAGGTGTTTGTCGGGTTGGGGATGTGTGTTGTTTCGGCAGCTGAAGTGAGAGTCAGCTATTGGAAGTCTTTCGAGGCTTGGGTCTTCGTGTTCGCTAGGCTTTTGGCAGTGGTGAGCGGGATTTCTATGCTTTGAATTCTCCAATGGAAGACTTTGTTTGATGGCTATCTTGGAGGTCTCTGCTGAGGGAGGAATGTGTATTAGTAGTATATTGTTTTGGTTGTTCAGTAGTTTTTCTATTTTATTTTTCCATTAGTCGTGTTTTTGGTTTGGGCATTGGCCCCAGTTTACATTCCTCTGTTGGGGGTTTGTGATTGTGTTGCTTAGGATGTGNNNGGTTTGGGCCGTTGGCCCCAGTATCATTACCCTGTTGGGGTCGATATCATTACCCTTTTGGGGTTAGTTTTTTTTCTCCCTTTGGGAGCTTAGCTAGTAGTTTGTCTGTGTAGTTGGTTCTTGTGTTGGTGTTTGAGTCGTTTTCATTCTAGCCTTGCTAGCGATTATAGGCGGACATCGGTCTAGCCTCCCAATTTGTATTATTCGCACATTTGTGCGCTTATCTATAGTACTTCTATCGTTTCGAAAAAAAAATATTGTATCATTACTAAAATGAATTTATTTTCATATGACCTGTCCAAATCAAAAATTTAAGTAGTTGAATAATTTTTTAAAACTATACATAATTGAATAATTCATTTGCATCCAAGTTAATATTAGCATAAGTTATGAATAACTATTTATTTGATCTTTATATTTGGAACCTAAATGTGGATTACACAAATAATTTTTTTTTTATATATTTCATGTATAATATATATACATATATATATATATATATATATATATATATATATATATATATATATATATTGCAATTTTTAGATTTGTTATCAGTTACCTTATCGTTCAAAATTATCAATTAATATGCAGAATTAAATTACTAATTTTAAATTTATTAACCAATGTTTGTTCAAAAATCATTATAATTTTCTAGAGGAATATATCAATTTGTCGAATTATCATCAATATATTATGGCAAATTATTATGCGAATATTCTAAATTTTAAGAATCACATCACCTTGATTTTATAAGAATGTGGTTCATCCACATTTTATTGTACATTCTAATCAACCAATTGAGACATGAGAGAGAAATATTATTATAATTTTCAAAATATCTAATTATTAATTTTTTTTAGTTTCTTATTTATATTTTATTTTTATTTTTGTCAATTGACAATATTATGTTTGATCACATTGTGCACACAAATAATTTTTAGATTTAAAGTTGTGAACTTAAGAAATATCTTATTTGGTTCACAATCCCTATAAACAATTGACATTTGTCAAAATTTATGTGATAACAACATTTATGCATTGTAAATGCTCTTATTTTGTTTTAAATAATTTCAAATATACTTCTATCTATTCCAAATAAAATTCACACTATTTAAATTTGAACATTTCGTACCAAAAATAAATCACCTACTTTATACCACAAAATCGGACATTTATTATTAACAACACATTTTCTACGAAAAGATAAAAATGGCTATTAGATGCTTAAAATAAAATCATCAACTTTATACCAAAATTGGATTTATTAATTTTGTCAACTTTATACTATAAATTAATTAAGTAATTTCTAAAAGTCATTTCTACAGTTTGTCCAAAATATTTTTTAGCGGCTTATATTTTTGTATTTGGTTATCTTGTCTACGAAGAAAAAGATAATCTTGCAACTCTATTATGCCAACAAAAAGATGTATGAAAAATAACATAAGTACTAATTTATTATGTTTTACTCACTACATGAAATATAATACAGATATAAACTAAGAATTTCAAAAGTTTCTACAATACCCTCATATTTGTTTCCATAAAACTAAATCATCCTAAATTTAAATTCAATTAGTAAAGGTAATAACATTAAATATTTGACTAAAAAGATTATGTACATTAATTACATTGATTTTTATTAATTTACTATTTTAGGCTATAAATAATGAAATTGACGGGAAAGTATTTCAAAAAGTAAATTATGTTAATCCTTATTATATATTAATAGATATATATGTAACAATTATATAATATGTAATATATATATATATATATATATTACATATAATTAACGATTATATTATATATATAATATAATATATAATATATATTAATATATTATATGTTATATGAAATATATAATAATTGTTATATTTAATTTAGTTTAATTTTACTTATATATATTATATTACTTCAATTGATAAAAACATATATTTAAAATTTATATTAAAAATTATTTTATTTTCATAATATTTTATTTTAAATACATTTTAAATTATTACATTATTTTGTGAATGTTTTATTTTTATTTGATTAAGTTTTCTTGTGTTCTACAGTTTTAAATAAATGGGTGTTAGATATGTATCATATAATTATGGTGGCATAGTGGTTGGAAGCCTTGCCTACTACCCTTTTGGCCCATGTTCGAATCCAAGGAGCAGCGAAAATATTTGCCAACAATGGTTATAAAAGGAAGGGGTAAAAAAGGAATTTCTGCGACTTTTGAGTGAAAAAATGAAGAAAAATTGCACAGCACGCGCGTGCACACCACTTCCGTCATCTTAGACGGTGTAGGGTACTTCGCGCATGCAAAAGTACATTACAATGGGGTTTGACGTAATTTTTAAATTACGAGGAAAAAACGCACAAATTTAATATATTATAAAGGGGTTTGGTGCAATTTACCCTATTTTTCTTTTGTGTTGGTCACACTTCTTTTTATTTTATTTATTTATTTATTTATTTAATTTTTCTTTTGTGTTGGTGACCCAACAATTGGGTCATATATAAACAAAGTGGTTGGGTCACAGATAAACAAAGGGAAGCATAGAAGAGAGAGGCGGGACAACAATTTCCATTACCAACACTGCTAGGGTTTTAACAGAACACCGAAACCCAATTCCATCAAGGTTTCATCGCCTGATAAATCGATTCGAAATGGAAATATCGATGTCGCTGAATTGTGCTCGAAGATCCCTCTTCAATTCCAGGTATTTTTCCAGGGATCTCTCATCAATCCAATCCAATCCCTCGCTTCACATTCACAAACCCCACCTGCAAATCGACAGCACAAAAAAGCTGCCTCTTTTGCAGCGTTTACACGGCAACAAACTTGATTATAGGTGTAGCTACTTCTCTCTGCGTTATCGAGATGACAAATCTACAGCACAAGCTCCGCCCTTGAGAAAAAAGCTGCCTCTTTTGCTGCGCAAACATGGCAACAACATTAATAATGATATAGACGGTGACTTGAGGTGTGGCTACTTCTCTTTGCTTTATTGGGATGACAAATCGATATCCACCCGACAACTCCACTTGCCATTTCCTAGTGTTAGGGCCCAAGGCTCTTGTAATGGCGTCGTGTGCCTCGCGGATGAATATTCTCCGGGGAGACTTGCCCTTTGGAACCCGTCTACTAATGAATTCAAGTTCCTTCCTCGGACGTGCATCCAACTCCATCCAGATGCTGAGTTACGCATTTTTTATGATGCCCATATGAGTTTCGATCCTATTTCTCAAGATTTTAAAGTAGTAAGGTTCGTAGCAACCGTTTTCCTTGACGATGGTCATCAAACTCACGCGACTAATCACGTGGAGTTATACTCCCTAAAGTCCGATTCTTGGGAGGAATTATCCGATCACCGTTGTTTTGATTGCCGATTAACCACGTATGTTGTAGCTACTGTAAATGGGGTACCTTATTGGATGGCGCAGATGAAAAACGAAAGGATTCGACTTCTTACCTTTGACTTTGCTAGTAAACAGTTCTCATTTGTTGATCTTCCTGATTCTGCTAACCGTGCACGGAAATTGCATCTTGCCGAGCGGGATGGGTCACTTGCAGCTATAATTTACCCAGGTTTCGGAAAGAATAAATTTTTTGAAGTATGGTTGAGAAGTCATGATGGTTCATGGGAGGAGGTATCCACAATTTGTGTTCCTGGTGCTGTTGAGCCATTAGGGTTCTGGACAAAAGATGAACTGCTTTTTAAATGCAGGGGTGAATACCTAATCATTTTTTGCCTTGACACTCGAGAGGCTAAGCGTCTTAATATCACTAGTGATCGTAAGGATCCTTACAAGACGTTCATTCCTTGTGTGGAGAGTGGAGTTCAGCTCGTTGGGAAATCAGAGTGCGAAAACAAAGAGGTATATTAATTGTGAAAACGAGCCTATTTTAATTTAAGCTCATGGTTGTAAAATCTTTGTTGTTTCCTGGACTGTAATGTAATAAAGACAGACTTTTGGATAATTAAGCTCTGGAACTTTTGTCATAATTTTTTAATCTGTTGTTATCTTGCATACTCTATTTTATACTTTTTGAGTCATTTAATTGGAAACCGTCTTTCTTGTTAGAATGCATTTGCATATGTGCTATGAAAATTCGCCTTGTAAATGCTACCTTGTTCTGCATCTGTCTTGATGTGAAAACATGAATATCGTATCTTTAACAATTCTGACAATGATACCCTTGTATTTAGCTGATCAAAGTGGAAGCACTTATAAAATCATTTCTTCTTTTTGCCCCATTGTTCCATGGTTTTTCCTATTTTGCTGCCAAGGTTTTTCCCTTTTCTTCCTCTAATTCTTCTGCTAGCTTGTCATACTTATTTTCTGTTTTTCTATGTTTTTTCAATGCAACTTTTCTGCAAAAAAAA